TCCTCCTTCGCAGAAGCTGCCATTGATGTGAGTTATCACCGCTCCTTTTTTCTCTCCGATTTGTCAATCTTCCTTTTTCCCTCACTGATTTCTGCTTCCGTTTACACATTGCACCTCTTTTTCCCCGGTAGATTCCCCGATCTGGGGGCTTTTTTTTGTTTGCTTTTTCCATGAACATTATTCGTCTTCTTCATTGTTCATTCTCTTGTGATTTTGCAGAGTGAGAGAGATTGATTTTAAGAAACCATGGCTGGTGGTGGAGCGCCAGCTCCCAAACAAGACGAACCTCAACCTCATCCACCTAAAGATCAGCTTCCCAACATTTCCTACTGCATCACTAGTCCTCCTCCTTGGCGTGAGATTCTCTATACTTCTCTTCTTCTAGATTCCAAGTTTTGAAGATTGTGATTTGTGTAGGTTTTTTTTCTGGATTTATCTGTCGGTGTGTGTATAAATGTTAGGTTTTCGTTTTTTTGATTGAAACAGGAGATTTTCTTTGACTGTTCTTGACTGATTTTTGGTTGCATCTGTGGCAAAGATTTGTGGTTATATCACTGAGTGGGATTCTTAGTCAAATGAGTTGATTTGGACTTGTGCAATGTCCATAAAGGCTTAACATATCTCTTGATCTTTGATGATTGTGTTTCAGCTGAAGCTATTCTTCTTGGATTTCAACACTACCTTGTGATGCTTGGCACAACTGTTCTCATACCTACTGCTCTTGTTCCTCAGATGGGAGGTGGATATGTAAGGGCTTCAAAGAGTTAACTTAATAAGTTAAGAGCAAGAGAAAAGGAAATGGTGTTAGTGACTGATATGATTTTGATTTTTTTTTTCTATGTTGTGTAATTCAGGAAGAGAAGGCTAAGGTGATCCAGACTATTCTCTTTGTTGCCGGTATCAACACATTGCTACAAACTCTCTTTGGGACTAGATTGCCAGCTGTAATTGGTGCATCCTACACCTTTGTACCGACAACAATATCGATTATCCTCTCAGGCAGATTCAGTGATACCTCAAACCCTATAGATGTATGATGAGTTCCTGTTTCATCATTTTGATGTGGATTTTGCGTCTTATATGACTCTTTCGTGGTGCTATTGTAACAACAAATAATCACGTTTGTATTGCTTTTTTCAGCGCTTTGAAAAGATAATGCGGGCAACCCAAGGGGCCTTGATTGTTGCTTCAACCCTGCAGATGATTCTTGGTTTCAGTGGCCTCTGGCGTAACGTTGTTAGGTTAGTCTGGAAGAGGAAATAGTGTCAAACATTCGTTTTCCTTGCACAATATTAGTCAGAGGAAACAGTATTTGGTATTACAATTTGATGTAAATTTCCTTTTGTACTTCATTTTCAGGTTCTTAAGTCCTATTTCAGCTGTTCCGCTGGTGGGTCTCGTTGGATTTGGGCTATATGAGTTTGGTTTCCCGGGGGTAAGTCTACTCTAGATGCACAGAAACCAAAAATATCAAACAATTTAGATGAGCACTTATGAGAAGATAGACCAAAAACTCTTGTTGCTTTCATTTTGTTAATTTCCCTTTTACATTCCAGGTTGCTAAATGCATAGAGATTGGGCTGCCTGAGCTTCTTCTTCTAGTATTTGTTTCACAGGTAATCTATTGACTTACTAACACATTAAACATGTCTAGCTCCCAAAATTACCTTTAGAACTGTTTTTGTTGTGATGACCTGATTTCATGTTCTGATCTTTCCTGTTACAGTACCTGCCTCATGTGATCAAATCAGGGAAAAATGTGTTTGACCGGTTTGCTGTAATCTTCGCGGTGGTGATTGTGTGGATCTATGCTCATCTTCTTACAGTTGGTGGGGCCTACAATGGTGCAGCACCAACTACACAAACAAGTTGCCGGACTGATCGTGCTGGCATCATAGGTGCTGCCCCATGGTAAGTGGTCACACCCCAGCTGTGAAGCCTGGTATTTGCACCATAAGAACACGAAGAAACAGAGTATCAGATGTTAATGAAATTAAACCGTGATCTCATTGTGTTTGTTGTTAAAATTGTTTTTTTTGTTTTTCTTACAGGATTAGAGTTCCATGGCCTTTTCAGTGGGGTGCCCCTTCGTTTGATGCTGGAGAAGCTTTTGCAATGATGATGGCTTCCTTTGTTGCTCTAGTTGAGGTATGTAATTTTCTACTTCAGATTTTAATCTTTCGAAATGCATGGATTATGCTC